AGTCAAAGGACATACAGCAAAGGGGTAGCATCATTTCATTCATTGTCAGCTAGGGAGTTCTTCTTGTCATCAACATTATAATGAAGCGACACAGAGTAAAAATGACATTACTTGAGCATGTGCTGTGCATTCTTTGACACACAGATTGGGTTTTCAATTCACTCCATAAACCCCAGGCTGTCCCAGAGATGCTTCCAGGCTGGGTGCCTCCCGGACTTGGCCCTGCTCACAGCTGACAGGACAGACTTCTTTGCACGTAGAGAACCAGATAGACCTTTGGCTCTAGAAGGGTGCTGCAGTTTTGTTCCCCAATCAACCTCGGGCCCACACAGTGATTCCCCTCCATGGCATTCACTCTGCTCATGTGCCTCGAGTGATGGGGCGTCACTGCTCACCGTGTTAAATCCTTCACTTTGGAAGCAGTGTAAAGCAGGAGGGAAATTCAGCCAGCACCTGATAGCCACAGAAGCCTTTCAATTTGAACTTTTGATGATTTCCAAATGACTTATACACTTGGTATGTTAAAAAATAGGTGTTCATTTGTTACCTGCAAATTTTGAATCATACCACTCTATTTTGTAAATCTGTTAGTATTTTCTCATTTTTTAATACACTGGGCAGCTGAACTGAAAGAGAAAACAGGATGCGGCTGGGTCCACAATCCCTGTCCCAGAGGGTCTGACAGTGATCAGGACTTTCCTTTCTGGCCTCTCATCTGTGCATTTATAGTGTTTCTGTTCCCTGTGGAGGCTCCAGAGAGCACTGGCTCGGCTGTGCCCTGCTGTTCTTCACATGGTGAAGCCAGGACCGGAGGGCTTTCTCTGAAAAGGAGACTCAAGGTTACTGCCTAGTGCCAACCGCCAGAGCCCTGCAGTTTGGGAGAGGAGGGTAGGGGGTGTGGTGCCCAACCCAGGTGTCTTGGCATCTAGAAAGCCCTGCTCCACGAGAAATGGTGGAAACTTCCCTGCACAGACTGCACACAGCAGTCTGCCCCACTACACAAGCCCAGGGAGCATCTTCCATGGCCTTTCATGTAAATGCCCCCCTGTGGGGTTATGCTATATGGGGGCGCTGATGCAAAGCCCCACCCCAGAGAGCATCCCATCATGAGCTAATGCCACAGCAAGGGGCTGAACCCCAGATCGCTAAAGGTTGGGTTACAGGGAATTCACAGACAACAGCTCACGATATGTGTCCCTCTCTCAACGTGACCTCTTTGTCCTTCAGCCTGATAGCCTTTGCCTCTATTTACACTAAATAGACCCAGCACCATTTGCTGGTTCCTGTATTTTGGGCAAACCGAGCTGGAGGCCCTCATAGCCAGTCTGAGCAGGTAGCTGTCCCGGTGGTGGTCACACACAAGGCCCTGTCCTTCCAACAAAGTTTAGCAAACAGCTTATCTCCCACAAACATGTGAGGCAATGTTTACAAAAGATCATTCTATCCCTTCCACAGATGCTGGGGTGCCCATGTGATCAGCCCGTGCCTGAGAGGAGATTCCTCTCCTCTTGTTTCCTGTCCTCTTCTGCTGCTCCCCTCTTTGGGGGAAAACCACACTGGTGTCCCTTCTTTGGTGGTGAGGGGAGAACAAGACTCTCCAGTGGCCTTCCCCTTGGCTTTCATGTCTCCAACTTTCAAGACATCTTCACAGTTTCTTTGGGAGGTGTTATGGGGCTTACTTCATATATGAGGCAACTGAAGTAGAGAGAAGTAAGGCATCTTAGCTAAAGTTGTGAAGTATGTTGGTGTCTGGGCTTGGGGGCTCAGGGTCCTACCTCTTAAAGTTCCTTCTGAATTGCCTTATTTGTTTTTTAATTTTTTAATTGTTATTTATTTATGCATTCAAGAACTGGGGTATACCCCAGAGGTACAGAGGTGAGAGGATTCACCAGAGACAGAGCGGGGAACAGAACAGGCAGACTGATGAAATACACTGCTGAGGGGAGCAGTGGGCAAGACAGGAGAGGTCTGCTGTGCCATGTGGATCAGCTCCCTGGCCAGGGGTTGAACTCAGGCCACAGCTGTGATAGCATGATAGTTCTGAGACTTAACACCTAGGGGGTTAAGAGAGGCCCTGAACTGCTTTATTTGTGATAACCATTCATTAAGAAAGACTCCTGAGTTTTAATATGAATAGATGAATGCATGGTGGAGGGAGGGAGGGAGGGATGGATGGATGGATGGATGGATGGATGGATGGATGGATTCATGCACGGGTGGATGAGTAAATAGCTAGATTTATAGATAGATGGAGAAAAGATAGCTAGACAAGTGAATACACAGGTGGATAGACAGATAACTGTATAAGTATGGACAGTTCTTGAAGGATACATGAGAAATGATGGACAATAATTGCCTCTGGAAAGGAATGGGGAATCTGAGTGAGAGATGACTTTTTATTTACTTTACTTTTTCTGACCTGGTGGAATGTTCTTTTTGTGCACATTTTAGTTTTTAAAATTCTCCTTTTGGGGCCTCCCCTGGTGGCGCAGCTGTTGAGCGCTGGGCTGCGAAGCTGCCTGCAGCCTCTGCAGTGCAGGTTCGATCCCCGGCCACCGGGTGAGGGTCCCACATGGCGCACAGACCTCTCCTGCAGTGCCCGCTGCTCCCCTCAGCAGTGTACTTCGGTCCTTCTGCCTGTTCTGCTCCCCGCTCTGGCTCTGGTGAATTCTCTCACCCTCCCATGCTTCTGACTGTACCCAGTGCTTGTAAAAATAAATAAATAAATCTTTAAAAAAAAAAAGATTTAAAAAATAAATAAATAAATAAATAAATAAAATTCTCCTTTTGGACCAGGAAAAAGACTAATTAATACAAAGTAAAAATCAAATCAACCAGCAACTATAAACCAGATACACACTAGGGCGGCGGGGGGGAAGGGGGTGGCGGCTGGGAGAGGAAGGATAAGTGTTAAAATAAGGCGGGGGGGTGCAATTGTATGGGGAATACAACCAAAATGAAAATGCATACATTGTGCAAAAATGAAAAATGATGTAAGAATTATGTAAAATAAAATATTAAAAAAAAAAGAATAAAGCTGCCAAGGCTCACTCTCAAAAAAAAAAAAAATTCTCCTTTTCTACTTCTTTGCCTCTCTCTCCCTGTGTGTCTATTCAGGGAAGAGCAGAAGCTGGCACTCTAGTAAAATTGCAGAAGTTTCCTAGGGAGAACCCACTGCCCTCTCCTCTTCAAGAACAGCCTCCTCCAGGTGAAACAAACCCATGGGTTCTCAGATTCACATGCAGCTCGAGCTTATACTGAAATGCGCAACTGGAAGGTGGGTGACACTCAGCCTTTAACATCCGAGAGCCCATATGGCTGCCTTGATTCAGTGCCCAGAGAGCCTGTCAGTAGAGGAGGGCATGAAAGTGTTTATTTCATGTGTACCTCATTCCCCCTTTTCCAGAATACTCACTGGCTTCCCTTCAACCACAGGTCCTTAACACATGCTATTGCCTCTGCCAAAGTCATCTACCCTGTTTCATGTCCACTTATCCTTCTGTGCTCAGCTCAGGTCAATGTTGCCACCTTAGGCAAGGCTTCCTGGTCTACTTGAATTGACTCTGTCCTATTGTACACACGCATATAGAGACTGTCCTTCATAGCTCTTACCCCAGTTACAAAGAGCTTGCATTTATTTACATGGTAACTTTTAAAAATATCTGTATTATTCACTGAACTATATGCTTTGTAAAGCAAGGAATGTATCTTTTTTAAAAAATCCACTTTTTTTCAGGTCCAATTTATGTACAACAGATGTACCCATTTTACACTTCGATGTTGATGAGTGTTGAAAATGTGGGCCTTCCTGGTGGCGCAGTGGGTTGAGCACAGCACTGTGTAGCTGTCTGCAGCCTCTGCAGCGCCGGTTCAATTCTGGCCTGCCAGGGAGATACCCACATGGTGCAGCAGACCTCTCCTGTCTCATCTGCTGCTCCCCTTAGCAGTGTACTTTGGTCTGTCTGCCCATTCTGCTCCCTGCTCTGTCTCTGGTGAATCCTCTCACCCAGCCCGCGCCTCTGGCCTGTACCTCAGTGCTTGTATAAATAAATAAATCTTTAAAAAAAAAAGAGAGAAAATGGGCACAAAAATTTACACACCTGTGCAAATATCACCACGATCAAAATACAGAACATTTCCATCATTTGGATGAACATTTTTTCAACTGAAAAGTTTCTGCCTCTAGCCCCAAGCAACTGTTCTAAAATTATCTAGAGATTCATTGCCTTTTCTAGAGATTCATATAAGAGGAATCATATAGTAGGTATTCTTTTCATCTGGCTTCTTCCACTCAATGTGATATTTTTTTTTAGACACATTGTGGTGTATACCAGTAGTTTTGTCCTCTTTATTGCTGACTGATACTACTCTCTGATTCATTTGTGGTGTTACCTGTCTGTCCAGGTTCTGGAGGGTGGGGTCCCATCTTCTGAGGTTGCTCACACTTGATTGGGCCCTGGCACATGGGGAACCTTGGTGGGACACAGTCTGTTTTCCCTGACTGAGGGCGCATGAGGGTCAGCTCTGCTCCCACACTTGATGGTCATCCCATCACTCACCCTGACAGCCTTCCTCTTCTCCCCTGTAGGCTGACCTTCTGGTTTGGGGAGCCCAGCACAGCTGCATCCCTGCAGTATCACTCTGCTGTTTCCCACAGCCATGGAGAGATCTTCTGGGTCAGCCATGATGCTGTGGGGCAATCATGGGCAGATCATTTCAACACCTTGAGCTGTGTGGAAAGGTGACTGAGGATTCATGAGGGTTCCTGAGGGCCTACTATGTGTTATGGGCTTTATAAGTGGGCACATGTGTTTGAAAATGATGTGTGATAGAGAAATAAGATACAGTATGGGGACTGTTAATTCAATCATCTAACTTCACCCCACACTGTTATACTCACCTTGGGTACCCGGGGCTCCACTTCTTTCTTTGGTTCTTTTGCTTTCTTTATCTGTCAGATGTGGGCTTGCACTAGAATTCCCTATGGTGCTCTCTATCTTGAAACTTCTTGGTTTAAGGCACTGGAATACCAGGGATAGATGCCTATCTGAACATCCAATATTGGGAAAAACTGTGTGATGCATTTAGAAAACAATTGACTTTTCTGAAAATTCTCTTCCTGGGTAAAGGAATCAACTCTAGTTTCCAAAACAAACCCATGTTTTTGCATTACTAAGCTAACATCTATAGCTATTCTTGAGCTCATGGCGGGCAATAGTAGGGCTCCTTAATTCAGGGTACTGGCTGTGCCACAAGACATGTTTTTTTGCTGGCACCCCAATCTCTGATGGGGGAAAGGTATGCCCAAAGTGCTAGTAGAGTAGGAACAGCATTCCCCTTGGTAAGCCAGTAGTTTAGTTCAAGCCACCTCTTCAAACCATGTGCCCCATTATAGATGGAGGAAATTCCTGAGGGCCTACTATATATTATGGTATGTGTTTGTGTGTGTGTGTGTGTGTATGTATAATTATTCTCATCATCTACTTCAACTCCCTTGCTTAACTGATGAGCAGAGGGAGGTCCAGTGAGATGATTTGACTTGCCCAGAGGGACACAGCAGGCTGGTGGACAGCAGAGTCTGTTACCCTGGTCTCCTGACTCCCAGGTTAGAGATTTCCTGGTGCCACACATGCCCAGGGCAGAATGGGGACTGCAGCAGAGACAAGGAAACAGAGAATTGAAAACAAAGCTATTTCAAACCACTGGCTCCAGTATCTGGAATTCAGAGTAAAAGACAGTTCTGGGAACTGGTGATTGGCAACTGTTTCACAACCGACCTTAAACTGGCACAAGCTGGGTCCCTTTCCTGTGACCTTGGGCAGCCTCAAGGACAAATTTCAGAGTAGTCTTTCTGTGAAACAGAGTACCTCCCTCTGACTATTAAAGACCCTCATTCTACAATAAGACCCAAATACTCCAGACAGTAGTTTTCAGTCAAGTAGTTTTCAGCCCTGTTACTGATGGCCCACAGACAGAGTCATTTATGGAGAGTTCAGCTAAATTAGTAAGTTACCTTTGTTACCTTTAGTCATCCATCACAAATTATTTTCCCATTTTATCTTTGTCAAAGACAAAACATGCAGATGCATGTGGGATAATAAGAGAATTGATGGTACCAACGTCAAGTGCCTGCCACCCTGCAGGGGTTATGCTCGATAACGCGTGACATAGCAGCTCATTGAATCCCCCCACCAATGCTTGGAGGGCTTCTCTATAATCACCCCCATTTCACAAGTGCAGGGAGCAATGCTTAGGGATCTTTGTGCTAAGAAGCAATGGAACTGGGAAACATGAGCCCCTGAGCTGTGAGGAGAGGACCCCTCCATTAATCTGTGCAACTTCTCACTGAAGTTAGAAGAATAACCACTCAAGTGTCTTAAACATAGAGCTCTTGACTGCCTCTGAGGTCTTGACAGAGAGCGAATCTTCCACCTAAGGGTTCTTTTCTAGGTTTGAGGGAGCTGAGGAGCTATATAGAGTGAAGATGAGATCCAGGAGACCCCCAACCCTTCTGGGACCCAAGGCCCCCAGCATTGTGCAAGGACATGTTTCCCATGAAGGGAGGCTGGGCCAGATGACCCATGAGGAAGACAGTGGATCTGTCAGCCCAGGGGTTTGTGAGCCAGGCTGACATGGGGTCAGACCCAGATTCTGCCATATAAATGCTGTATGAACTTGACCAAGAGTTTCATCTCTGAAGCCTTGTTTTTTACCTGTAAAATGAGGCCAATACAGCCAACCTCAGTGTTACTTCAGAGGATTCATGGAGAGAAGATGGAGTCTATTGCCTGAAAACAATTGGTGCTTAATAACTAAGAGCTACCATCCTTGTTACTTAGTGGGTGATGTGCCAAGATTACCTCCTTGGCCATAAACCTGAAATAGTCTATTTCTGCCTCACCTACCAAGAGCCTGGAGGACAAATATGATCAGGCTTTGGCTATGGCCCTTGTCATCTCATGTACAAGCTTCCAGGTCCAGAGTAGCCCTCTGTGGGTCACTGCCCCCCATTCACAATCAGGGAATACCTGTGCTTCCTCCATCTGTCAAGGACTTGGGGCACCCCTCCCCTTGCAGGACAATGGTGCTGTGCTCTACAGTTGATGTGAAGATGACAAGCAATTCAAGGCCACAGTAACTGAGAAAAAATGAAAGAGATGAGGGAGACCTGTGGATGGTGACCTTGCTGGCAGGCAGGACATGTAGTGGGTGAAGGACATAGGGACTTGTGTCACACTGGCTCTGTCCTTCTCTCTCTGTAACTTGGGGCAAATAGGAGCTTTCTCTGAGCCTCACTTTTCTCACATGTAAAATGGGAATACTAATGGCTCCTCCTTCAGAAGTTTGTATTTAGAGGTGATTGAACGAGGTAATATACGTAAAGCACAGGTCCTGACTCAAAAGAAGTGGCTAAATAAAACTTAGCCACATTCATCACAATTACAATTATCTCTGAGAAGTAAAGTGTTCATCTAGTTCTATTGAAGATCCTGTACCTTGCAATCCCTTGCCACTCAGTGGGGTCTGAGGGGGGTTCTGGGTGCCAGGTTGCAAGTGTTGCCACATGCAGGAGCAGAGTCATTCCCAGCCTCTTCCCAGGTCTTGTGCTGGGCTAACTGCTCCAGAATGAGGCCTCTCCAAGCAGCCTCTTCGAAGCCTGGACAGAACTCAGAAGCAGAAGTAGCAGGATATGGCCTCCAGGGGGCAGCATGAGTCTGGGAAACCCCAGCTGACTGCAAGGCTGGGAAAGGAGAGAACCCAAGAAATAATCCCCAGACCCTGGAAAGGGGGCTGACCTGCTGCATCCATACTGCCTGCACTGTGGCTGCAAGAGGGGGGAAGCAGAAGGGCACTGAACTAGGAGGTCTGATCCACTTGCACATTCCCTTCTCTCCAGCCAGCCTTTTCCATTCTCTTTGGTAAATAGGGGCTTCACTGGGGTAAGAACCATGGGGGTTCAATGAGACACATTCCCAGGCTTCTGGGGAGCATGTGAGGCCAGTGAAGCCTGCAAGTGGCCAGGCCAGGGATTAGGGTCAGCGGGTGGGGGGACCATCATGCTGGACTCCAGCCCCCTCCTCGGGAATGTCTTAGCATTACCCTTGGACACCCCTGGCCTCTGCAAGAGGTGGCTCAGTCCTCCTGATCAGAGACTTTGTCACCAGTAGACAGTCACCAAAGGAAAATCTATTTTGGGATAATGAAAATATTCTGAAATTGACTTGGTGGGGATGACACAAGTCTGTGAATATACTAAAGCCATTGGATTGTATACTTTAAGTGGGTGAATTGTATGGGATGTATATTATATTAAAAAAAAAACAAACTTGAGAAATAAAAACAAAAAACAGTGTCCATGTGGCTATGGTTCAAACCCAAAAAGGCTGAGAATAGGAGGCAGGCCTGGGTCCTAGACTCCCTGACATTCAGACTCCTTCAACTACTTGGAAGCTAGGCCTTCCAGCTCAGCCTCAGTTTACCTACATGAAACATGGATCTCCTTCATTTGGCCTCATTGGCAAATTGTAAGAATTCCCTAAGATCCTGTGGGAGAAAGAATGAAAACCTGAATGAACAGCACAAATGTCAGTGGTTACTTGGAACAACAGCCACGTGCTATCTTGCTTTAGGATCAAAAATTGGGATCGGTGCAGAGTGAGCCTCTGACCACACTGTCTCTCTCTCCCACTAGTCAAATAAGATTCAAATAGTCCATTTGAATGATCCCTGGGATGACCTTGTAAATCACACGGTCTCTCTCAGTGGTGTCTCTCTTTGCTTGGTCTCCTCAATCTATTTCAACTCTATTCTTGTCTGTCTCGGTTTCTTGATTATTCAAATGAGTTATTACAATGGCTTAGAAGCCAGAAATTTCTTCCCAGATTCCCAAGTCCAGAACTGGCTGAAGAATTCTCCTCCTTCGGATTTCAGTGGATTGAGAAATGCCAAGTCTGCCCCTGTGCTCTGCCCAGTCTTTCTACCCCCTAAGATTTCTATTCTCCCGGTAGGGCCCACGGGATAAAGCATCAGCATCCTCTCCAGCCTGCAGAGATAAGGAAAGAGGTCACTCAAATGGCCTTAAGCAAATCTTTACTGTCTTTTGGTCAATGTGGCATTTGTCCAGGATGTGGACAGATTAGTAACAGGGAAACAAAGAGACAGTGGCATAATAATATGGAGAGTTCTTGGCAGAGAGCGGCCTTGCAGGCAGTCTTACTACCCCCTTTCTAGACAGTGCTCCCTTTCAGAGTCTTCCCGGTCTGCCTGCCCTATTCCCCTGCTCATGACTCAGCCCACAGCAGTGGAGACAGCAGTTCTGTGTCTTCCTGCAACTAGAAAGAGATCTCAGAGTGTGCCAGTCTGGGCAAGTGCCTTCCTCTCTGAGCCTCCATTTCCACATTTGTGTAATGGGCCAGTTCCGGGAGAAGGGAAAAAATTGATGAGGGAGTCCAGGGCAGGCTGTGTTCTTGCTACTTAGTAGATGTCGACCCCAACCTCCCACCAAATCTCCAGGCTTTCTAGAATGTGATTGCTCTGTGATCAACAAATCTAGACTCCTCAAGAAGGGTAAATTGAACTTGTAGCTTGACTAGAAATTGCACTTCTGGAACTTGAACCTGTGGAAATGAAAAGCACAAGGATCCACATGCATGGCTGATCATGACTACATTGGTTGCATTTGTGGAGAAGGAACTGGTGCTCCCCTTAAAATTGGTCTATATCATTTGGGGGGGCTGATGAAACTATGGTATACCCATTGTTTTGGATTAAGTACCTATGAACAATAATGACTTTTTTCTCTTCTGTTTACCTGGAGAGATGACTATGATGCATTCAGTGAAAATGTATGCAGGAAAATATATGTAACATGACTTTCAAAAGAAAGTGAACCCCCTTCCTTTTTCTTTCCATGTTTCTATGAACCTATCAAGAGATGTGGAACGACCCAGCCAGCTGAATCACTGCTCAACTGCCAACGGGGGGCAGAAGGAAGACTTGAGGGGGAGAAAAGAGATTTAAGAGTTTGTTAAATTCATTTCTATTCATCTCTGAACTTTTGGTTTTATTCTAAACATGTGTCTCTTTTTTGTGCAATGATATAAAGTTGTGAGAAAGTCACCACACAGCAAAATTCTTAGTGAATGGAATGAGTGAGTGGAAGAAGTCTGATAATTCTACCTTTCCACTCTTGAAATGACACATGTGTTCATATCTGGATTCTCTGCCAAAAGGCAAATTACCTCCTAGAGGGGCTGATAAAGCCAACAGTGACACTGATGAGGAATCTGAGACTTGTCGGCCTCTGACGTGTGAGTGCGTGTGCTGCGTGTGTTTGGGGGAAAGTGGAAAGTGCTACCTGTCAGATACCTTCTGTGCCTAGCAACGTGCTAGGTGTCTGTGCATACACACCTGAACGCAGACACACTCCTTCAGCGTCGTGATGAGCAGCATCTAATGGACAAGGAAGCTAAGGCTGAAATCTTATTGAAGGCTACAGCCCCAAAGTCTGAGCTGGATGCTGATGCTGACAACCTGACAGTAGGGTGATTCCAAAAGTAGATAATGGGAAACTTCTGCTTTAAACCACCCCCCCCCCCATGATAATAATGGAAGCAGTCAGGGTGTGAGCAATGAATGAGTCTTAGCTTCATCCTTGCCAGACCCTTTGCAAGGTCTTTAGATGCTTATCTCCATTAATGCTCACAGGCCCCATTATGGCTCCCGTTTAATAGATGAGAAAACTCAGCTCAAGGAGGATCAGTGAATTGCAGAAGGACACAGACATGAAAACGAAGAGGAGAAATGTGAATCATGGCAGTCTAAACTCTAAGCCTGCCTCCCTCGACTCTTGGGGCACACAGGCTTAGCATCCAGATGTCTGGGATGACCTGAAGCCAGTGTTACCCCTGAGTCTCATTCCAGCTTGTCAGGCAGACCAGGGAATGGAAGCAAGATGAGACTGCAGTCTGCCTTTACCTGAAGTCAGAAGGCTAGCGTGGAAGTCACTGTTTGGGGTTCCGGGACTGTGTCTTCTTGGACGCAGGCCGAGCTGACTTCCTGCCTTCCACATCCCCCCCAGGCCTCAGTGGCCTGGCTCCACAGTGTTCAGGGATTTGCCAAGGACCTGGCCATTGTCATTTATCTAAGACAGCGGGAGGCAGAATCAGCCACTTCTTGACCTGAAACATTATTGATTTAGTATTTCAATTTAAGTGGGCTTACTGTTTAAGAAGAAGAAAAAAAAGCAACAACAAACCAAACAAACAAAAAATTTCTTACTAAGAGGAAATCTACTGCCATATCTGGAGAATGGCATGGCTTACCGTAGGAGGTTCCTGTAAAGGGAAGGTGACAAGACAGCCAGACATGCTAACAGAAGCCCCCAAACAGGCGTTCAAAACCTGCCTGCTAAACCGGGAGCGAGTGTCTGAGAGGCAGTCAGCCCTTGACATCTATCTAGATGGCTCCTGAACCCCACGAGAAGGCCGGAGAGAAGAGGCGCCACCCCCGTGCCTGGGTGCTGCTGGTTCTGACTCAGAGTGGGGGCTTCTGGGAAGCGCCCTCTAGGCAAGCCCTTTCTCCCTGCCCTGGTGTCACCATGCAGCTCCCACACCACCTCAAGGACGGCTGTGCTCACCGCTTCTCCCTGGAAGGTGCTCGGCCAGAGGACCTGTCTTGCACAGTGACCGTCAGCCCAATGCCCTGTTCCTCAGATTTCTCAGGGGTCTGCTCAGAGAGCCTCCTCAGGAAAAGGGGGTAACATTACCTTTATAATATTGCTGCTGAGAAGGGGAGTGGAATTAGGGGAGACAAATGCTGTGCCTTTTCTGTTATCTGATTTTTATTTAATAGAGGCAATATTTACATATTGCTTAACAACAACAATAATAATGATAATAATAATGAAGAATTCTCTGAGATGGTTTTGCATCCCAGCACACTGTCCAGCCAGCAGTCAAGGTGTCCTGCCAGGGGAGGACAGCTCAAGTGAGCAGAGGATGCCAACCCTCAGCATGGCAGGGAGAGGATCTGCTGCCCTAAGCAAGGCAGGGGCAACTCTCCACTGCAGCCTGAGCCTGGGGGGTTAGGAAACTGGCTTGGGTTTCTGTTCTCCCAGACCCAGAGACACCATACAGCTTGTCCTGGGTTTTTAACTTGGGGCTGAGAATGTGCCACCTGGGTGATCTTGGCGTGTACTTGACCCCTCCGCCTTCATGGTACAAACTACCTTAAAGCCTGCCTGACCACATACTACATGGTGCCCTGTGCCACAGGCCAGGCTGGGGTCTTGGTGGCCAATTTGCTGTGCAAGTTTGGGCAGATCATGATCCCTTCCTGGATCCCGTTCCTCTCACTAGATCTGTGTTCCCCAGTTAAGAGCCCAGACAGATGTTTGTAAACTACAACTTGCTTTTGGATCAGCTGCTAATATTTAAAAGCCAGGTAATCCCACTTAGAAATCCAGGTGCTGCCTGCGTTCTGAGACACCGACACTTCTAGACAGCCCTGGGGCCATGTGGAACTATCCCCAGGAGCTGGGCAGGACCACTTAATCTGCAGCACAATGCCATAATTTCGGGGTGTTCAGAAGTAGGGCTCACCATGTAGGCTTTTAGTTGTTAGGTGTTAGTACTCACAAGAGCTGTGCTTCAGGGATGAGGAAACTGAGGCACAGAGGGATTGGATGACTGGCCCAGGTCATAGAAACATGGTGGAAATGTCAGAACTAGAATCCATGTAGTCTAGTTCTGTGGGTGTGTTGTGCTGCCTCTCAGCTAGAGAGTTAAGCACTGTGTTGGATGCTGGAGAGACATATGGAGGCTGAGTGAGACAAGAGGCTAGTGTTTACCCTTCCTTTGCTCGGGCAGGGCTTGGGGAGGGATAACCCTAGTCTCTTGTCTATCCCTGGCCAGAGGCAAGGATGAGTGTGTGGGACTCACTGGAGGTGAATGATGCAGAGCCCATCCCTGCCCCCATCACAATGATTGTTGACTATGGCAGCAGCTCTGGCCCTGGGTGACCCCCAGCTGGCCCTGGGCAGCCCCAAGGTTCAGGGGTGCAGGGGAGCCCTGTATTGGCTCTCTGTTTTGGATTGGCAGAGGTACATACCTGCCTCCCCAGTCACTCCAGCCCTCCTGTTTACCCTGCAAACAGTCAAATGCTCCACACTATCATTTAGAGGCCAGGGGGCGGCTGCCGCGGGGCACCAGGCGGCCTAGGCCTGTTTGAGCTGTCCTGGGACCTGCTGCCTGCCCCGTGCCCAGAGCCCATTTGCCTAGGAATTAATGGGCCCCCACACCCCTGCTCAGTGCAGACACGAGTCAGGGAGGCATCCAGGGAAGGCAGAGGGGAGGGGTGTTGGAGGGAGGGTGCTGCTGGGCTTGCCTGACTCAGCTTCTCAAGAACCCTGTGACCTTGAGCCTTTGGGGTCGTATGCCTCCATTTCCCTGGACCTGCCCATCTAGAACTCCGGGGAGTCCTCGTCTCATAGACATGGTTTTGGTTCAGGTGAGGCATCTGCTGTGAGCATGGCAGTGGGCCCATCACACCCGATATTTCCCATTTATGGTAGAGCGTTCAAAAACCAGGCATTAAACTAAATCTTTGGAAACTGTGTTACACTTCAATAGCACATTTTCAGAAAAGTGTGCAAGCGATACATGTTCCAAACAATGAATCTTCACACTGAGCATGCCTATGCAGTTAGCATCAGGACAAAGAAAGTACAACAACTCCAAAACCATACAAAAAATCTTCACCTCCTCCCTCTGACCACCAGCCCCATTTGACCCACACCATTGCTTAGTCCTCAGCACAGTTCCACAAGGTGGGTACCAGACCCTTCGGCGTAAATGAAGGAACGCAGGCTGACTGATCACAATAGCTGGTGATTAGGTCAAAATTGGAACCCAGGCCTCGAGCCTCCAGAATCCACACATTACCCACTGTGCTGGGGAGAAGTGTGAGTGTGGGCTAAGGGCCAGACAGGGTTTTGTCACTTAAATATCCTTGTCTTCCAGAAACTTCCAGACTTGGGAAGCTAAGGCAGAAAGTCAGTCACTCCCCAGAAGATGAAAATGTGTTGATTCTCATCTGTAATCCCCAGGGCAGAGGGACAGGGGCCGTGTCTTATCTATTTACCTCGCACAGCCCTGCCTGGTGCCTGGTACGCAGCAGGTGCTCCATAAATATTTTTTGGGTGATGGAATAAATAAATAAGGGAATGATGGAAAAGAAGATGAAGGGAGAAGGGACAGAGTAGGGTTTTGTCCCCAATTGCGGGCTTTCTTCTACAACCAACCTGCTTATCTTTATGGGGATCTGTGTCCATCATTGGATCAGACCTTGGCTCTAGACTCCTCTCTCCAAAATATCTTCTCACATCCAAAATGGTCCCCTAATGCCACAGTGACTGACTAGAAATCAGGCTACCTAACTTAATCTGGACTTAGCCGAGTCCAGAAGAGCCGGTCTCAGAGGTGCTGGCCCCTAGTAGGGTGAATCTTTTCTGCCTGTTCCCCTTTCCAATATTCCATACAGCTAGAAAACCTGAATTTCCTGTCCTGTTTCCATACTAACATCCAATGCTTTTGCTTTGGGGTGGCATTATCCTGGAATCAGGAGATCTGGGTCTCTGCTGTGTGACTTTGAGAGAGGTGGTTTCTCTCTCTGAACTTCGACTTCCTGGTTGGTGAAATAGAGTAAGGGGAGGGAATTAAGATGATGTTTAGAGTTTACAATGTCCTGTCCTCTGACATTCCACCTTTCCTGTAGTTTCTTTAGTTTGTAGAGTCATTCCCTCTTCTCCTACTTAGGGGTATGTCTGACTCTTAAATTAAAATGAATTTTGTTAGGAGAGTTTTCTGAGACCTTAATAGAAAAGGTTTCCAGAAGACTGGAGGTCTTTTAACAGCATTAAGGATACCATTGACAAGGCAAATTGTTGTTATCTATGGAGCTTGTTGCTTGCACCCAGGACTTGCATAGCTAAGTGCAGTGAATCCCAATAACCTTCTGTGGGATGATGACTGTGTGTCCCATTTATAGATGTGGGCACAGAAAGTAAAATGACTGTTCAGGGTTACACCATCAATAGTTGACAGAGCCAATTCCAAACCAGGCCTGTTCTATTCCAGAGCCTTTCAACTTAATGACGAAGCTAGACGCCAGTCTAGACTCCCCTTGGCGGTGCACTTATGCCCTTGGTGGCTTCTTACAACCACTATTCATTGCTCCTTGGGCAGAACCAATGAGGTGCCAGAGGAAGTTATATCAGCCTCTTAGACAAAAAGAAACTGAGGCACTGAGGATTTGGTGACTTGCACAATATAGTGGTTCCCGATTTTGTGTTCATGAACTGTTTTGTGATAATAGAATTTGAGGAACATACTCAAAAGGATTACTAAACAAATACCAGATTCTGTCGCAATAATTTTGGGGGTTATGAAAGTTTTGGGTCAGCTTATTGAGTGTGAGGATGGACGCAAGAATGGAGACCTGTATTTTCAGCTTTGCATCTTTGTCACCTCTAGGAATGGCCACTTTGCAGACGGTGGCACCTACTTTGTTGACTTAAGGAGTGAACGCATCACATGACTCACTCTTAGCATACAGACCTTAGTAACTTAACCAATTCTGTCTGAAGGCCTGGAATCCTGAAAGGTGGAGTAGCCTCATATCCAGCAGCTTTCTGTGACTTCTCAAGGTTTGCAACTCCCACCCACGTCAGAAAATGGCGATAGGAAGTTCTGAAAACAGCTGTTATGCAGCCCAGACCCACAGCAGGTCATTGTGTCTATTTCAAGTTTTAAAATTTTGATACTGGGATGTTTTTGGCTTCAAATAATAAAAGGCCTGAGAAAAAGTGGCTTGACCAGTAAGTTCATTTATTCCACACATCTGTTCCCCACTCTGTCTCTGGTGAATCCTCTCACCCTCCCACACCTCTGGCCTGTACCCTGGTTGTTGTATGCATAAATAAATAAATCTTAAAAAAAAAAAAAGAAGTGTGTTTCATTCCATCAATGGATTGAAAACTGTGCAAGGAAGCCAGGAAGAAAAAGGTCTGTATTTCCAATATCCATCATGGGAAATGGGTTCTTCCTGCAAGGAAGAAGTGGGTGGGAGTTGCAGGAGAATAGCTATTAGTAGGGTACTCAGTATCACCTACCCCAACTGACAAAGAAGAGTCTAATGCCTGCTCCACCAATATAGCTCTTAGTTATTACTCCCCACATGTGACGTGAACTGGGACTGATGGAACCTGGTCCTGCAGGGGTCAAGATGCTAGGGAATGTCTTGTTTTCCAGTCACCCCCTTTCTTCTCACCCCAGACAGGTCACTTCATCCATGAGTATCAGCACAGAGAATCTCCTTACAGAAAAAATTAAAAAAACTGGTTGCCTGGAGTATGCAATGGCCAGGTTCTGTGCCGAACCCCTAACTTACTGTTTCATTTATCCTCACAACCATTCCCATTTACAGATAAGGATGCTGAGGCTCTAAGCGTCTTGGGCAGATACAGATGGTATGAGAAGGAATTAGAGCTGCAACCCAGTACTCTTTGACCCCAGAATGTGTGCCATCTTAAAAACTACTATTAGGGCCTCCCTGGTGGCGCAGCGGTTGAGCGCTGAGCTGCAAAGCTGCTCGCAGCCTCTTGCAGCACCAGTTCGATCCCTGGCCACCAGGCGAGGGTCCCACATGGCATGCAGACCTCTCCTGCCGCCTGCTGCTCCCCTCAGCAGTGTACTTTGTCACTATGCCTGCTCTGCTCTCCCCTCTGGCTCTGGAGAATTCTCTCACCTTCCCGTGCTTCTGACTGTACCCAGTGCTTGTATAAATAAATAAAAATCTTTAAAAACAAAACAAAACAACAGCAACAACAAAAAAACTACTATTAAACCCCCTGACTTAAAGACTCCAGGCCTCCAATTCTAGAGCTTCTGACCTGGAGCCCAAATTTTCAATCTGCTAGCATCTCCCTGGCTTAAAGTTAAGTGGCAATGCACACCTTTCCTACCTGGCCTGGCCTCAGAGGGGTCTGCCTCTGGACTCTATCACCTAGCTGGCTCCTTTGCTCCTACTAGTTACTTTCTTGTGTGTGTTTGGTGGTGGTACCGGGAGTAGTAAGGGAAAGGGGGGGGTCACATCTGCCTGCCTCTCTCCATGCAGCTCAGACCACAGTTGCTCTGAGCTCCCACTTTGCCCCTGGCAGGTCTCAGAAGCTGCATGGGCAATCAGACCTGATCTTGGAATCGCCGGCGTGGAAAATCCAGGGGAACAAATCCTGTTGGCTCTAGGCAGGTGCAGCTGTCACTGTCCCCAGCCCCCCAGTTCTGCCTGGCTGGCCCCCCTCCCTTTGGGCTCAGGTGCAGATTGGGGAGGCGAGGGTGCTGCAGAGGAGGGGTAGGGTTCTGTGCCCACGCACAGACACACCCATGCTGGTGCCAGCAGCCCCTCTGCCAGAACAAACCTGTTCCCCATCCCATCAGAAAACCCTGCTGGACAGAGAGGTTGTATATGCCAAACAAACACAGTTAAGCCTCTTCTGCTGTCAAAAACCATGATCTCCAGGGCCAGGCTCTGTGGCAAGTGCCCCCTCCTCTCACTAGTCGCCAGAAGAAAAATATGGCCCAGGGGAGAGGGCCAGACACATGGTAAAACATCTGCTGCATCAGCTCCATCAGCATCTCACTCTCCACACCCCCTCCTCTGATCTGAATGCCCTCCTGGGAAGGGCACTCATCCTCCTGATCCTATTTGAGGGCAGGAAGTCTGTCACCCCACAAATGTTTCTGGAGGCCCTGCGGTGTGCTCGGTCTGTCCTCCTTAGCTTAGACCCTGCCACGCCAGTGCCCATCTTGAAATGAGTCATCCATTCCCCCGTCTACCCAACAAGCATTTGCT